TTGAGGGTGTCGATACATTAAATTGGAAATACCATTCGTCAAATTTGTGTCCTCTATCAGTCTGCACCAAAATAGTGGAGGTGGCCCAAAAAAACTACGCCGAGTAAATATTTTCCTGCTCAAGTCGGATCACATTTGCCAATGGCGTAGTTTGTTAGCCATTTGTGCGATGTTGTAAATTCTTGGAGTTGAGTCAATATAACTTCAAGTAGCCGTTCTGACTTTCACATTCCACCCACACTAAAAACTTGTGCTTTTGTTAACTTTGTTCTGACTATATTTTGGTTTTGTTCCATCATATTGCCCCTTTTTTCATGCCTACTTGTTTTCGGTTTTCGTTTCTCCCTGTTCTCATCAGCCCCCGGTCCTTGCGTCTACCAATCGGATACCTTCTATGTGATTTTGACAATAGAATATCCATGATTAAAATGAAAAATGACTTGTGGACAATGAAACCATGTGCATTTTTTTTTTTGGGGGGGGTATGATTTAACCACATATCATACACATTGTATTGAACGGATCAGTACAGCACAAAACATATGGAAAATATGCTGGTATATGTATAAATGTTTGAATGATCTTAATGATGACTGAATGATTCTGACAACAAAGGCACTTTATTGTTGAGAATTGTGCAAGTTACCGCAGCGCCACACTAGCAATTTTTTAATCGCTCGTGTGTCTTTGGTATTTAATATTTTTGGACAGATAAGTCAAGCAGACGACAGCCCGCTGCATTTATGACTGTATATTATTTCCCGATTAGTTCAGGGGAAACACACTGGAGTAGTGTCGTCAAATATCATTATTAGATTTCTTCTTGGTTAATTTGCTTTTACCTCTGCGGGGGTGAGTTTTGTGCGTAGTAAATTGGACGGAGAGCGACTTCTGTGCTTCAATTTTACGCATATCCACGAGACACAGAAATATTTTACTCCAAATTCGGCGCTATTTTGTTTTTTACGAATGCGCTGCAAGAATTTTAGACGGAATGCTTAATGCATGTCAAAGTAGCATTTAACCCTTCAACATGGAGTCGTATTGGTCATTGGATGGATTCCCCCTCAGTCGAAATGACCCCCGCATTTGAGCACTTCATCATCTCATTAACTCTTAGCCAGCGGCCAGGGCAGCTCCATTATCTTCACACATGCAGAATGAGCGGTAAAACTGGAGGGTGGACTAAGTAATTATGTGCCTTTCAAGTCAGGTTCGTGTTGAGACTCGGAAGGGAGTATCGGAAATCCTCTGGTCACTTTATCAAGAGACGTACTTTTAAAGGGGGGGTGATTTCACACAAACAAGGACCCCGCTGCGAAAAAGAAGCCCTTCTTTGCCATTGCAATCAAAACTCTCATTACCATTCAAGGGATTGCTATTTACGACAAGAACAATTACTAGTGAACGTTCAAGACTGAGATAATGAAAAGAGGGAAGCTTGGTGCTTTTGTTGTACAAAAAAAAATGACCTTGGATTATTTTGTTGGTTTTTTTTTCCCCCCGCCCGTTTGCAGCTCACTTTCCATTAATGTACAAAAGAGTCTATGTTTCTCATTAAACTGGTGCCACATTGAAAAATAGACTAATGAGTTATTTGGTGTCTCACACTGATTTCAAAAATGAGCACTCAAGTTGTCGTAAATTCGACACAAATGGTGGTGTTTATCCCGTTACAACGCCTTGCGGAATTGCAATGTGGGCATCACGTGGAATGAAAAGCCACTGACACGACGCCGCACCATGGACTGGGAAATACAATAGACGTGTGTGTGCGCGTATCTACAAAACGTATACACAAGCCAGCAAGAACACTATCCATGCATTTTCTGCAGCATTTATCCTCATTAGAGTTATGATGTTGTAGGAGCCCGTCTCAAATGACTTTGCCCAATCGGCTGGGTACACCCTGGATTGGTCGCCGGTCAATACACAAACAACCATTCGTAAGCACATTCTTTTTCCTCAAATGGACAATTTAGAATCTTCAATGAACCTCATACGTAGACTAATTTGAATTGCGGGACAACACTGAGCCGAGCTGAGGATTCGCGGGCATACAAGAGCCTATCCCAGCCGCCCAGCAGTAGGCAGGACACACCCTGAACTGAGTGCCATCCAATCACAGGGCACACTGTCCATGTACCGATTTAGGTATTTCCGTATTACGGATTTATTGATGTGAAGCACACCCCTAATTTTAAGAGATAAGTAATAAATACATTGTATTGCTTTCATTGAAATGTGTGCCTAATATTATGTCCAGTTGGTGGTAATATAGTCGACCTTCTTCCCTTTTTCCTCTTCGCCACGTGTCGCGTCCTCATCATAAGACTGCTCGGAAAGAGCTTCGGCAGGTCTGTGTCTCTCTCAAGGGGAAGAATGATAGCGATTATGTATTCCTGATGCTGCATTCTGCTTAATGTGACTTGTCATAAGCGGCAGTCAGCATCATCTCGCACCTGCTTCATGCGGACGGCAGGATAGATTTTTAATTAAACATCTTAATTAAACGCAATAGTCTTTTTTTTTTTTTTTTTTTTTTGCATCTCCACATTACACTTTCTCCAGTCAGTATCGCCAGACATTTTGAGCAGTTTTGTTGTGCGCCGCTCCTTCAAGGACATCGACAGACTCGAAACATCATCACAGCAGAACGAGTCTGGCATCGTAAAAATGTCTTTAGATCTAAAGCACAGAAGGCTCTTCTGCTATTCCTTTAAGGCTTATAGGATTAGAGAAAAAAAGCAAACTATTGCAAAACTTCAGAGTAATTTCTGTCCCTTTCCTTCTCTCCCTCCCCAGGCCCCCCATCCACCCACCCCCGTTAAAACCTCTCCTAATAATCATCACAGTGCCTCATTAAGAGAGGAGGCAGGAGCGGCTCCAGATGTTTGGTGGAAAACCCCCAAGGTCATGTGTCTGACACAAGAAATTCATGTCTTATCTGCGCTGGAATGTATAACTCTCAAGTGTGCAAAAGTGCCCGCCCGATGCAATACACAAGCGTGTGTCCCCGAAGGCACTTGGAGTGCTCTACTGCCCCACTTCCCACACCGGGGAAAGTACAGTGAAAGACGGTTTTGCGATGGGAACATTAGAGCGAGCTAAAGAATGTTGGAATACATCGCGAGGATAAAACTGCTTTTCAGCAGAGCCAAATTGAACTCACGCGATCATCAACTATTCATCGAGTCTTCACAATCGTCCTAAATTGATGACCCTATTTCTGTGACATCCAATCACAACAGGAGACGCTAACTGACTCATTTGCACGCCCAGTGTGAGATCAAAGTGAAAGAAAGATGGCTGAAAGTGATGGAAGCGCTAACCATTTGTCTGCCCCCCCCCCAGCCCCCAGGTCTCATCAGTCCCGACAACTCGAATGTGGATCTCGATGACAGCGAGCTGGGACGATCCAGGGAATAATAATAAATCATCTTGTTGTCTTATTTATGTCTCGCTGGGTGCATCGGTGCAGTGATGAAGAGTAAACAGGAGTAAACAGTACCTGTGTGTGTGTGTGTGTGTGTGTGTGTGTGTGTGTGTGTGTGTGTGTGTGTGTGTGTGTGTGTTGTTAAAAAGCTTGTTTCATTCTAGCAGGTTAATGATCAGATTTTTTTTTGGGGGGGGGGTGATTTTTTTTATTTGTCCAACCACAGTATAGAACAAGTACATAGTTGATTTTCAGAGGCCGTGCTGTGATGTATTAGAAAAAAAAATGAGAGCAAGATAAATCCTTTCCAAACCGTTCCATTTAGGTATCGATAACCTGTGCAACTCATTTTTCAACGGAATATTTCGGAATGGAAGTGAAAATAATATTCACAAACGTGCTCTTATAAATGGGTTTTGGTTGTGCTCAGAATGAACGAATAACGTTCAAACTCATTTCAAGGAGAGTCACGCCTGCCACAATTTAAAGTGGCTCTGATTAACCCCAAGTAAATTTCAGATGTTCTAGTAGGCTTCCACTGACATTTTTTTTCTTTCTAGCAAAAGCCTGAAGGGTTTGTGTTTATTACTAACTGTTCAGAATTCCTTTCACCTTATCTCAGGAGCACATTCCAGCTCAAGAAACATGGCCGCAAAGCATGTTGCTGCCACCCCGGCTTCACTTTCGGTCATTTCCATTGTTTAAACCCCGTCGGCTTAGTTTGTCAGCCAGTTGTCTTTTTCTCACAGATTTGACACATTACCAGACACGGTCACAGCTCTACAATCAGGCATTGCCAGGAAATGCATCATATTTAGCCTTATCCGTCTCTTGCAAAGTGATCGAAAACACAAACCGAGACCCAGAATCCAAATACAGTCCCAAATTTCCCTGACCTGCCATCAACACTTTCTCCACAAGATGCCCTCATACTCTTTCTTCTGTCCCTGCATAACACACAAAGCCAGACCACACAAGGCATCGCTCTACTTTTCCAGAATCTGTGGAATCATCAGAATGACAAGCGGCATCAATCAAGCCACAAAAACTCTAAATCCTTGCTTTGTTTGCGTTGCCTCTCATATTTTTCATTGCCGTGCTAACTCGTGAGGGGCTAAATATTAGAAACAGCTCTCAATGTGACGCCGCTATGCGGCATTGTAAAACTTAACCACCATGATAAACACCTCATCTAGAGCTGCTTTTCTTATCTGCTGTGCTTGTTAACAGAAAACAGACGTTTGCGTTTGGTCTTTCATTTATGATGTATGTGTACCTTGCGTTTCGGACAGTAACAAAGCAGTTTTGGACTTGACATTCTGGTCAGAAAAAAAAGAATATGTGAGTTCTGGGTTGTATAAAGAATATGATGCTATGTGGGACAGATACCGAAGTGTTTAGTTGATATGTACAAAGGCAAGTGTGTCCAGAGCAGATCCTTCCCTAATGGGTGTGTCTCAATGTGCTCCAGCCCTCTCTCACTTCTTACTCATAAGCCGAGAGAGAGAGAGAAAGAGAGAGAGAGAGAGAGAGAGAGAGAGAGAGAGAGAGAGAAAGAGAGGAACTCACCAAACAGCCAATCAGAGGAGGCCTGAAATCTTAACAGGAGTTTTTCCACTGGACTGGATTGTCACAAGTTTTTGTTCTACTTTGTGGCCCCGGGTGGTGCACAGCTGGAAACACTTTGTCAGTATTCAAGCAGGACGGCATGGCCATTGTATGTGTGAGGCAATATATGGAGGCTCGGAAGACTAAGGGGACACAACCAACCTGAAGCCCCCCCGCCCCGAGTCCCTGTCAGCTGAATCCAGGGATAGTCTCTCTCTCTCTCTCTCTCTCTCTCTCTCTCTCTCTCTCCCTCTTTCTCTCTCTCTCTCTCTCTCCCTCTCTTTCTCTTTCTCTCTCTCCCTCGCTATGAGCTGCCTGGATGTGATGTACCACCAAAGCTATGGAGCACACTTCCTCCCAGCAGAAGCCTACAAGTCCACATACTGCAACCACCATTACCAGCAACAGCAACAACAGGTGAGACTGAGAGCGCTTTCGTTGCAGGAGTGACGCCTTTGGTTGTTTAGACAAGCATACACTGAAGAAAAGGCTTCATCGGTTGAGGAATGAATAAGTGAACTCTGCTGGATAGATCAAAATGATTAAGCTCTAGAAAGATCCACAGTGCAAAAGTAGGCGAACAAGTTGAAGGGGGCTGGGGGGGCAGTTTTAATTTCGATGTCTGGATCCGAGAAAAAACTTTGGTTCAGGTGGTATAAGATGGGATCTTTTGTCTTTTAAAAAAGTGGGAGGACTTTAAATTTTTCATATTTTTGTTGTAATGTCACCAAACCGCCCAAAATGCAGGTTGAGATGTCAGTCACTTGAACAAGGAAGTGAAACAAAAACAATCACACACACACACACACACACACACACACACACACACACACGGTTAGGTTGCCGTGGGCAACTCAGATGAGATTCTAATGTTTAACATGGAAAAAAATATATATGATTTGATATTAACGTGTGTAGGAACATTAATATAGGCCTGTGACCAAAGTCGCTTGCTACAATTATTCAGGTTCATGTTGGACGACCGTTTTGTGTATTTCCTGTCATAATCCCACCTTGCCATTTTGCATTTGCTTATTTTTATAAGACATATTCTTATATTTGTCCAAAGTAGTCAAGTTTGCCTGAAACACTTTTCTTGTCACTGTCGGGTGAAAAAAGAAAAAAAAACAGCATCCAAACACTGCAACATTTCCGGTGGTGTTTTAGCTTATATTGCCATCCAACATTCCAAAATTAATCAAACCCCAAAGTCGTATTCAGTCACTCAGCAATGCACTGACAAATCACCTATTTATTGTCATTGATTAAAATGGTCGGACACGTCGCCAGTGCCAGCTGTCCACCTCTAAGTCTATGCTCATGCACGAGCCGCAGAATAGAAAAAAAAAGGTCATTCTTCCAAATATAAACAAAAAAAACACCTCTAAGTCTATGCTCATGCACGAGCCGCAAAATAGGAAAAAAAAGGTCATTCTTCCAAAAATAAACAAAAAAAAACCCAAAACAACAACAACAAAAAACATCGACTGAGCTTACATCATCAACCCAAACTCCTTCTCAAAGGTCATAGAGCAATACAATAAATTCATAGGTGGAAATGAATTGGCAATTTGTGGTTGACCGATTCCATTTTTCTTAACAAAACAAGTTTACTCAAATGTATCTTTCTATTTTCTTTTTTTAATTGCTTGAAAAAAAAATCTGATTTTCAATCTTGAGGCAACAAAATGCAGCATGGGTCTCATGGCGTGATTGAGGAGGCTCTTCAGACAGGTGCGCATTCAAAAACTTTTTTCAACACTTTAAATTGCTTCATAAGGCATCAAAAGAGGAGAGAACAATGGGATTGATTTAGGGGGAAAAACACAAACTAGTAGGACATCAGAGGCTTCTGCCCTACAGTGACGACATTCAACCTGGTTGCCATAAGACTCGAATCAGTTCTAAAACTGCTTCAAGATTGAATATATAAGAAGAAAAAAAATGCAATAGTTTAATTGACCGCTCTGTTCATTCCATACTCGCTGTTTCCTTTCTCCTTCCAGAGGAAGCTGAGTGCTCACAGTAAGATGCACAACTGCTCGGGCCAGCAGCAAAGTGGAGGGCGAGGAATACTATCCAGAGATCCGTGTCTTCGTCCGGCTCCCGGAAGCGAATCTGGATGTGTATCATTACAGGATTTGGAGGTCAAAGACGGAACTCAACCAGCAGGAGCGGAGTACTTAAACTCCCGTTGTATATTGTTCACCTACTTCCAAGGGGACATCAGCGATGTGGTGGATGAACACTTCTCTCGGGCCCTCAGTCAGTCCGCTGGCCTTAATCGGGAGACAAAACCGAGCCGGATGCCTCAGACCACTGTCTCAAACTCTGCCGGATCATGGAAAGGTAAACGGAGCCAATGGGATTAGAACGGTTGCTCTAAAAAAATATATGACATTGGATCATTGAATTGCTTGACTTTGTTTTTGCTTCAGATGGCGAGTCTCTCCCGGAGGGTCAGAACAGTCCAGTTTGGAGCAGTACCTATCCATCCCATTCGGCCACCTGCCTCCCTTCTGTCTCCGTGTCAGTCCACCCAGAATTCTCCCCAAGCCCCATTTCCCTCAACCACGCCGATGGAGGCCTGTGGGCCGGTCACATGCTCTCTCAGGCCGGCCTCCAACCGCTGGCTAGCCTCACAGACAGCTGGACCTACAGTCTTAACTCCCAGAGCGCAAGCGGCTACCCCAACGTTCACGACGTCTACCATCCTCACCACCACGCGCACATCCATACTCGGCATCACCACCACCACCGACCGGTGTTCCATTCGTATCCAAGCCACGGCGCAGCACTGGAGTCGAGGTTCAGTCCTCTCCTGTTGCCCGGTGTGAGGAACCAGAGCCAGTCAGCAGCCAGTGCGGGGAGTTCTCCACACAGCGACAGCGCAAAGACAGAAATGGACCCCGGTAGCTGCAGCCCGGTCACGGCTTCATCTGTACCCTGGACCCCTTCGCCGCTCCACGGATCCTTGGAGTTGTACGATTCAGGTAGATTCGAAGCATCGCGCGTTTTGACTTGGAGGAATGGGGAATCACGATGTTTTATATTGTCTTTCCGCAGCTCACGAGCAGACCAAAGCCAAGTCATCGGTTTGGTTCTAACTGCCGATGCGCACGAGCGGAGGACTCAGCTTACGCTCGGCGGCGCCGTCAACATATGGCTGCAAAACAAGTACTGCAACGTGCAATATGGATGGACGCTTTCTACTACTGCTCCTGCCTTGTCGACATCATTTAGGATGGAGATGTGACGTGATGTAGCAGAAAAAGAGTGCATCTTCTCTTCTTCTTTCATGATTCATCTGCAAAAAAAAAACAAAAACAAAAAACCATTTCATTTTCAAGTGTTGACGCAGTTCTGTTACAAGAACTGCTGTTTGGAATGAGTCAATATCACTTTTTGTCCTCGACAGAATCAAATGCGTCGTCGTGACAATGTAGCAGAATAATGACACTGTGAAATCTGATAAGTGGCCAAACGTGCGCACAAAAACCAATACAAGGATAAATTTTGTTAAATGTGTTGGGGTTTTTTTTCCATTTTTTTTTCCCAGTGGATATGCATGACTTTAATATATCCCACACGCTGCTCAGCTAATTCGTGGTTAAATAATATGAAACCACATTTTAACACAGTCCATAGAAGGTTATTGGATAAAAAGAACATTTTCATAACCATATTGAACATGTTGCATGTGTCGCTGAAATTGTTGTCCACCCTGTCAAAATGGGCTCAGGGCCACTTTAAGAACCCCCCTCTGAGGTTTTCAGACGCATTTTGCTTTTTTTTCATTGGAGACCAAAGTAGTGGATACTTGCAAGTTGTAAATATTGAAACTATTTTGATCACATTGATCATCACATTGTGTTTGCAGTCAGATGTTGTCAAGCTTAACGTGTCCACTCTGTCATAGTGAATGACCAATTGATATAAATAACTTTCGGAACTTTGAAATCTATTTGTTAAACACGCTTGCCAAGTGACTCAAGGTTCATAATGTGCTCATAAAATGCTGACACGAGGCAAACAATGTCCACCCTGTCAGCAAGTTCGTACATTTTGCTGTTTACATGTAGATGGTCTGCTTGCAGTTTGTTTTTTGGGACCTCGGCCATTACGCATTTCTAAAAGTTTCAAAATCACTTTATAGCGTTATTGACTCGTATACCAAATGCCGACAGTTTTGCCTTTCAAAGTGTGCTTTTTTTTGTTTTTGCTGAATGATGTCTGTCCCTTCATGCTACCTTTGAATTTTTGCCTCAAAGGATTGCGTGTTGTATGTTTTGATACTGTATGTTTTTATTGTAAATAATAAATTATGATCTTCTATTTGCAAATGAAGCTGTTTTTGTGTCTTTACAATATTGGACACTCATTTAAAATCACAGTCGATTACATCAATTTGCATCCACAAAACTGGGCGTCGTTTCTGTGGGTGGAAAAACAAACACGAAATCAAACAGCGAGTCCAAAACAAGATTGATATGCGAGAATGCTGATTTCATAGTACAAAATATTTGCATATCTCGAACTAAAACGTTCGGGACCAATGTAGCTCTTGTAGCTTTAAATGACTCGCTGCCAGCAGTACCAGAGGAAATAAACCGCATTCCACAAATAGTTATTATAAGATACCATAACCGTTTCTTTTTTTTTGGCCTCTGCTCACAAAAACATGCGCCTTAAATCACACACACACAGACACAGTCGACAAAACAGCAAGAATGCAATTGTCTTGTCTGGACAGGAAGTTGACCGGACACGACAGACATAGACATTCAATGCTATTAGTTAGCCGCTTTGTGTCTTCTGTGATAGTATTCAAAATAGGATGAATACAGAAATACGCATCGGATGAATACAATCAAAGTGTTTTCAATTTGAAAAGTTAATTTTTTTGTAAACCCGTATGAGCTGAACGCGAAACATGTTGATCCCGGTGTAGATTCCAAGGAGAGTTTCTTCAGTTAAATAACACGTTGTGTATATAAGCTGGTCGGACAGTTGGTATGATCAACAGTAGTAGCGCACAGACATTCCACTCTCCCCTCTGGTTCTGTTTATTAGCCAGCAGTCGTTCGGGGAACAAATCATTATGCATCAAGCAGGAAGTCTCAAGTGGAGCACTGCAGAGAAAGATGTTGAAAGAAGTAGCTACAATTCGAGCAATTTTTTTTTAGCTACCTTCACAATCGACTCCTGAGAGGCATGACCCTGAACAGGAAAATAGGCAGGGCTCAACCAATTACATTTTAACAAAGAACAACATGTGATGCTTGTTCAGTTTGTGCAATTGCTTTTGAAGAGTAAAGCAATTAGTTTGTGCAAGATGTACCTTTTTTTTTTTTTTGTAAATCATAACTGAGAGTATATCCATCATGGAAGCTTTGCACGGCCCATTTGTGTCAACAACCCAAAAAATTCGGAGAAAATCCTGTTATTGTTCTGTTTTGTTTTTGTCCAACGAAAAACACATACTGGGGTTATATATTGTAGAAATGTAAAAAAAAAAAAATGTCATAAGTTCTGACAGTATTCATAATGCCTTATGTTATTACAGTTTACCTCGGCTTTTAAGATCTCGTGCAAATAAATCGTAATGAAAATCAACTTTGCGGAGCACTGCCAGTGGCCGCGCTTTTCCATTTTCCATTGCTTGAGCGGTTATTGACTTATTGTGGTAATAAACATTCATACTGCAAGCCCCAAACAAACAAAAGTGGAAACGATTGATCTGCACTGTTAGCTGGATCCACACCAACAACGAAGATTTTCCTTGGCCGTGCTCGTGCAGTAAACTAAAAGGACTGCGGCCCGGTCGGATTGCGGCGAAAATAGTAAACTTGAAATTCCCCGAAAATGTGTCTCTTAAATGTCTTTATTAATTTATGAATCTATTTATTTATTATGAGCGGCTCAGTGTTATCCCTGCAGGTTTTTGTGATTGTGTTCAACATTCAAATCTGTGGTCAACAATTCGCAACATAGAAGGGAATGTTTTGAAGAGAAAAAAAAGGTTTTTAAAGTATGACACATTTTTGAAGGATGGAGCAACAACTATGGTCTCTTTTCGCAGACCTCCTAATGAGCATTAGCATTCAGCTTCTGCATCAGCATGCTAACGGACATCCCACCGGCACCCTTGGAGAATCACTCCAGGCACTTCCACTGCAGGAAGAACAGCAAAGTTGACAAAGACAATTCTGGATGCTCCAAAAGTCAGATTGGAAGTTAGTGGCGCGTCAACTGGAGTTTTAGAATGAAATAAAATAACCTTTCCCAAAAAAAATCATTTTAGTTATTTCCGTCTTCGAATTCCCCATGTGGAGTATTTCGAATGACAAATTACACAAATACATCTAGAAAGAAACGAGAATATGGAAGAACTACTGCATGTACTTAATAAATAACCAAAGAAATACAGATGCCAGTAAATATACTTGGTTCCTACAAAATTATGTTTCAGTGGAAATACAACAAGAAAAGCCCATCTGGGTCTTTTCCTCATCTGCTTTTTACAAGAACTGCTTCTGTTGTATCCGATACGTTTCAATTCAGTAGCGCCTAATTGTATTGGCTTGAAGGAATTGGGGAAAAAATAATTAGATTGTACTCAATTTTTTTTTTTTTTTTTGCTGAGCCTTTCCACCCTTGTTGAGTTCAGACAGATTGATTGCTGCCCCTTTCCAACTATTTATCAACAAACAAGAACTCACACACTCTACTGCAATGTCAGATATAATTAAAACATAAACATGTCCTCCAAATTGGAGACAACAGCGTGCAGGACAATCCAGATGGCTTTTTATTGAGGTTCACGTCATCATTGCAAACATTCTGATCGAATGGATGCATGTATGAGTGATGTCATCGATGCTACCTTCTATACTTTTATCATTAAACACGAAAGTCCGACTCGAAATGACGACGTCAAGGAAACGAAATCGGATTTCTCCCCACTCTTCTCTCGATGGAATCTGCGGTGGGAGGAGCTAACATGTGAACCCAGGATGTATGCAATTCATACCCTGAATTTGCTCCGCCCCCCTCCCTCTTTCGGCAAATCTGCCCTGGTGTGCTCCCTCCCAGCTGGCCCTTATCTGTGTGATTTACCGGCACCCTGTTTCTTGTCAACTTCTCATTGTCATGTGTCATTGCGAATAAGCATTATTGATGTTAAGATATTGAGTCTTTTTGCTAAGGGTCTGTCTCCCAAAATGTTTTGCTATGAGAGAAATAAAGTCCCGAAATGGAACGGCCGTTCGGGAATCTCACCGAAATTCACGTTGGCCACCACGCCCCCAGCTAGGAATCCTAAATTCGCTAATGATAACAACTGGAAAAAAAATACAGCGTACCAACGTGACTCAAGAGAGGATTTTTGAAAGCCAAAAGTTTCAGTTTTTGGCTTGGCACCACCAAGAGAACAAACGGCTCTCTTAACTAAGCCCTTGGATGGGAAATATATTAGCTCTCAGAAACTGAAAAAAAAAAAAGGATTCAAGTAAAGTTGAGATGAAAAATATTTGCAATCAGAGTAGAGCCACAGAATCACACCACGGACTGCATACCCGGACTTGGTTTAAAAAATAAGAGTTTTCAGGTTCGCATACTCCATAATAATACTGTATATTCATCTGTGTCCTTGCATTCACCGTGTTTACAAAACCACCAATTCTTCTCCAATCGTGGGGGCGGCACCCCATTCCATTCAGTAGGTTATTGCTGTCAGCTCCACTCTGGGTAATGTTCCAGTACCGCAGAGGCCAGTACATAGCTGTCATTCCTCTGCTCACTCAAAGCACATTTAGCAGCCAACACCTGTTTACCCCCCACTCACCCCCCTGCTCAGTCTCCACTGCCCGCCCGCTCTAGCAAGGCCTGTCCTCTTGTTTAGACAAGCAGGAATCCACCTTGTGACTTTTTATGAGGCAAATCTGCTATTTCGGACCAACTCCATAAGTTGTGGGAAATCTCACTTGTAACGCGTATCCGCAGAAACATCCTCAACAGGAAGCAGTGTGACATTGTCCAAGGGCCAAGATGAGCGAGATACTTTACGCATGCCGTACATACTGAGACCGTCTCTTTTACACGTTTGATGTAAACAATAACAACTCTGCCAGTAATCATTTGTCGCAACAGTAGCTGGAAAAGCAGATACGTCATTACGATCGAGACTATTTTTCTGATGACTTTTTTTCAAAACGGATATTGAACTTTTGCACTCCATACTTTGTCAAAATCTGCTTTTTTTCAATCTCCGCGGATGATGACTTGTAAAAAAGACCAGAGAAAAATTGAGAGGTCAAGTCACCGCCGCAGAAACAACTTCAGCAGGAAGCAGTGTGACATTGTCCAAGGGCCAAGATGAGCGAGATACTTTACGCATGCCGTACATACTGAGACCGTCTCTTTTACACGTTTGATGTAAACAATAACAACTCTGCCAGTAATCATTTGTCGCAACAGTAGCTGGAAAAGCAGATACGTCATTACGATCGAGACAATTTTTCTGATGACTTTTTTTCAAAACGGATATTGTACTTTTGCATTCCATACTTTGTCAAAATCTGCTTTTTTTTCAATCTCCGCGGATGATGACTTGTAAAAAAGACCAGAGAAAAATTGAGAGGTCAAGTCACCGTGCTCAAGGCAGTTGGGATTTTCGTTATTGGATGGATTGAGATATTGGGGATTTGTTATTCCCCATTTACGGCCTACTTTAAGAGATTTATTTATTTTTTTATGTTGCTAGCCTAAAAACCACAAGCTTGTTCAAACATTCTTAGTTGGATCAAAAAAAAAATCTCCAAGTAAAGTGCATTTTTTAATTCTTATGAGCTCATTTAGCTGTTTTCGGGTTAGCAAGGCTAGCAAAAGTACGGGAACACGTTTTAATGGCATGTGCAATGTATTTTTTTTTTTCTTTTCAGCATGAGCACTATGTAAGTTAATGAAGATACATTTATTTTTCTTTAAAAAAAAAAAGCTGGTATTGTATATAGTTGATCGTAAACATTCACATTTATATACTTGTACTTAAGTGAAGGAGTTGATTTTGTACATCTGATTGACCAGTCTTCTTTTAATGTTAAATACGTTTTTTTTTTTAACTCTGGCTGTACTTCACTCTTTTATTTTCTTCTTGCACTTATACACTTTTACTGCCCCTTCAAATCAAGTCAAGTGTAACTCCAGATGAACGTCTCAGTATCTGCCATTCAGAGAAAAATGAAAAATTTCCACTGTCGGCCCTCTTAAGTCACACTTTGTGACATGTGTCTTGACGACGGGGCAGAGACACTTCACCCTCTCAATCTGTCGCTCGTTTCTATCAT